AGCGAAGGTCTAGTAAGATCAGCTCAAATGTCAATCTCACCTGCGCGTGCGATGACTAACCTTATTCGGTGCACCCTGCTAGATAATCCATGAGGCTCTGACGACAGAATGATCGCCGGATACGGCAATAAGCAATTAACCACCAACTTGTCAACGGCTACGGGCGGATGAACAAGTGGTAGTAAGGGCACCCTTTTTCATAAGGGGCACAATAGGACAGAAATGACCGCGGTGCAAGGCCAAACACCACCTCGGCGGTGAGGAAAGGGTTTTAGTGAGTAAACAGCTTAGCTGGAGTCCCACACAACCCAGAGCGACAGACCACCAGCTCTGGGAGTGCATAAAAGGGCATTTCCCAAACCTCACCGAAACAAATAAAAAATAAAAAAGGCACCCTTTTGTCCTCAGTGTCAGTGTCCTGTAACTAATATTTATCATGTCAGGAAACCTAAAAAATACGGCCTTCAGTCCCGGGCAGATGTTCGATCATCAGAGGGTGCTAAGAATCTCCCGGCTTGACATGAGAAAGACTAAACTACGCTTTGGGACATGGAATACCAGAACATTTTTTGCGGCAGGTAAACTTGATAACGCCGTAAAGAAAATGCTCAGGCTCAATGTTAATATCCTTGGCATTCGTAAAACCAATACGGCCCTCAGTCCCAGGGCAGATGTTCGATCATCAGAGGGTGCTAAGAATCTCCCGGCTTAACATGAGAAAGACTAAACTTCGCTTTGGGACATGAAATACCAGAACACTTTTTGCGGCAGGTAAACTTGATAACGCCGTAAAGAAAATGCTCAAACTCAATGTCAACCAGATGGCCAGATAGTGGCGTGTGCGTGAGGAATGAGATGACATTTTAATATTCAGGGAACAGTGATCCGAACCATAGAAACGGTGTAGGATTTATCGTGAGATATAATATTGGAAAGTCCATCGGAAATGTTGTCGGGTACTCGGACAGAATCATTCTACTGCAAATGAATGCTAGTCCAATAAGTATAAATCTTATTCAGATATACGCACCTACAGCAGATAAACAAGATAGAGAGGCAGGGAAATTCTACGGACAAGTACAGGAGGTGCTCCGATCTTTGAAACCCCATGAACTTTAATGCTAAGGTTGGAAAAGGCAGAGTTGACGACGTGGCAGGCGTCTTCGGACTAGGCGAAAGAAAAGAACGTGGGGAACTTCTCCTGCAATTCTGTAGAGTGGAGAATATGGTTATACACGTGGAAATCTCTCCAAGATAGCAATAACAACATCGTACGCAATCAAATAAATTATATATTAATTAATCGAAGATATGAAAATAGTATCAAAAGGGTCTCCGCGTATCCTGGTGCCGACATCGACTCTGACCATAACCCTCTGACCGCAGACTTTCAATTTAGACTCAAACCAACATTGATAAATTGAGGGAACCAGTGGTTGCAGACAAGATGAAATCCAAATTAACAGAACTATGTGCAATGAATAATAAAAATCCCGGACATAACGACTGTCCAGACTCTATGGATCAATATAAACCAAAACATTCTGACTGTTTCCGACACTTTTCTGGTACCAACAACAAAGAAAAACAAACCATCGATGACCGATGAGATACTCTCCCTTATGGAGAACAGAAGAATCGCAGAAGTCAAAGAACAACAACAAAGATACACCGAAATAAATAACAACATTAAACAACAATGCAGACAAGGTAAAGAGAACTGGGTAACTGCAGAATGTCAAGAGGCGGCACGCATGGATGCTCTGAATGAATGTAAATTTTCATAGAAAAATCAAACAAATAACTGACACCACAAAAAAAGCACCAATACCTTCCTTAAAACATAATGGAAAATTGATCTTAGACCCGGTAGATCTATGCAGCACATGGAAAAGCTATGCACAATTACTATTTGAAGACCAAAGAGAAGCTAGGCAACCTATCAATGGGGAAGAATGGTCGGGCCCGGAGTGTGAAGTTCAGCATGCTCTGAAAGCAATGAAAAACCGAACGTCCCGGTCATGACAACGTGCATGCAGAAGTTGTTAAAATATTTGACCCAAAACATCTCACATATCTGTTCAACCTATTATACGATTCGGGTAAAATTCCAACCGACTGGTTAAAATCAACTTTTGTAACAATTCCCAAAAAGACATCTCCAAAAGATTGAAGTGACTGTGAACTTATAAGCCTCATGAGTCATGCTCTAAAAGTTTTTCTTCGAGTCATACATGGTCGAATATACTCGAAATTTGAAGAAAGGAGCGGAGAGACACAGTTTGGCTTTATCAAGGGGTTGTCTAGATGTCTATGAATGCTTCATAGATTATACGAAAGCTTTCGACAGCGTTAGACACGATATTTTCCTAAATAGACTGCTCTAGATAGGAATAGACGCCAAAGACATCACAATCATACAGGAACTATATTGGAACCAAAMCGCGGAGATAAGAGTTAACAGAAACCTATACACAGATACCTTCAATGTATGTAAAGGAGTCCGCCAGGGCTGTATATTGTCACCAATACTTTTTAATATATACGTTGAAAAGGTCTTTCAAATGGCCCTGGAAGGAGAAAATAGAGGAATTAAGATTAACGGAATTCCAATTAACAATATACGATATGCAGATGATACGGCAATTCTAGCCCCAACTTTAGAGGATCTCCAGCAAATAATGGATAGGATAGAGGTCATGGGGTAAACGTTATGGTCTTAAAATCAACGCTACCAAGACCAAACTTATGGTAATAGGTCGCCAGCCTCTAATCAACACCGCATTGACGGTTGATGGAAATATTATAGAGCGAGTATCACGACTTAAAAAATATTTGGGTGCCAAGATCAACGAACGATGGGAATGCGATAAAGAAGTTAAACTTAGAACAAATTGTGCAAAAATAACATTTTGCAAACTGAAAAACTTCCTATTAGCTCGCAGTCTCCCGAAAGCACTTAGACTACGGGTACGTGTTACATATGGCCCATCTTACTATACGGCGCAGAAACGTGGTCTCTCAAAGCTAGAACCCTGAACCGCATCGAGGCGTTTGAAATGTGGACTCTTCCGAGACTCTTGCCATGGACCGCACATGCCACAAATGAAGAAATTTTGAGAACAGCAGGCTGCGAACGAGAAATACTTAACATTGTTAAAGAAAGAAAAGTTTCCTACCTCGGCTATATCCTTAGAGAACGCAAATATTACATTCCTAAACTAATTCTACAAGGAAAAATAGAGGGACGTCGAGGCCCAGGAAGAAAGCAACACTCCTGACTAAGAAACATACGGGACTGGTGCAACTTCAGCGATGCAGCCACATTGTATGAAGAGTACAGACAATCGCCAACGTGCGGCTAAGCACAAGGCACAACAACAAGAAGAAGAATGCGATAAGACTCATGCAATTTCCTAGAAGCGCCCACAAACTTTCTAGAGTTATCAGAATAAACGTCTGAAGGCAAACCCCTTCGAGAGACAAAACGTTTAAGTGAATTCAAAAACGCATGAGTTGATAGGTCACTGACCAACTCGAAATGTACCGCCTTTGTTGAAAAACAAACAAAGGCACAAATATAGGATTTGACTAATGTCCGGTTTCGCTATTCACCATCCTATAACAAACACGGTCCAGCAAAATCTACATGTATAAAGGACCTGCTGGACCACATCCGATAAGTTTAAATAATCTTCGTTTGTATAATTGAAGAAGCCTGACATGATTATTAATTATGGCAGCTATGACAGCTGTCACCATTCGTTTGGCACTTTGTTGTACTAAACTACTAAACTAAAAGACGATGCTGCAAAATAGCCAAATGAAAACATTAATTTGGCAATATTTCGAAAACTAAACACCTTTGGAATAGACATCGTTACACAAACTTACACTTATTTTTAATACTGAATATGACAAAATTATCGAAAATGGGGGTTTCCATTTGAAAAAATTGATTTTGGGCGGTTTTCTCAACGGCCGTATTTTGAAACTTATTTTTTTAAAACTTTGTACTAATAGTTTTCAAAATGTTTTCGAAACTCCATTAAAGCAAGTCTTTTTCAACAATAAATGCTGCTGAAACTAAGTATGACAAATTCCCTTATAGGGAAAATGAATAATTATTCGAGCGGCTGCAACTGACTTGCTACAGACTACAGGATACTGCGAAAAATATTTAGAATTTGGAGTAGAATTCAAAAATGTAATTATACGTGGGGTATTCTATTTAAAATAAGCAAGTTGATACCTACTTCCGGTGTAAACGAAAGTGTGACCATATTGAAAATATTTTGTGCCGCTTGCACCCAATGACCTTGGCTCACTGTCCAATTTTCAAATTTCTCCTAATTACAATTTGGTAGATATCGATCGCGGCGGTTCCCGGTGGGACACCCTGTATAGTACATACTATGTCGATGTTGTCAATTTTTAGGAGTTTTGATAGGTAGATACTGGCTTTTTGAATAACTTCATAATACATTCAATGTTATAATTTCGAACAAAGGGTCCGAGTTTTCAAGTGAACAGATCCGTTAGTTTTGTTTGGTAGCACATTTGCTCTTAAAGGAAATGTAGGATGTAAAATTTAAAATCTTTTTTATGGTCAGGAGATTCTCAGATTATTTGAGTGTCAGTAGTTTTGCCAGTTCATTTACACCCCAATAGGCAAATAAGTCATCTGCACAGAAATCCTGTTCCTTTTGACCGATCGAGGTTAGTTTTGAGGACCAGGAATAACTTCGCAATAAACTCACTTAAAAATCTTCAGATTCCCACATGGAAATACTTACAGAAAACAATCTTTGATAAATGTTATTCGCCATAAATTGTTAGAATTGCTTGATGTTTTATCAATAAAAATTCCCAAGTAGACAAGTGATAAGCAACTTGAGACGCACTTGAAAATGTATGTCGTCAAAAGAGATGTGACTAAACGAAAATCTCATTGTGCCTAATAAATGGCACGTAAATCTGGAAAACGATAAAAAATTCAACGGCTGCTGGTCTCAAGTGCCTTCAAATCTGATAACTTTAGTATAAAATCGGGGCAGTTTTTAATTGTAGGGCAGTGTTCTTCGACCAACCGAGAAATAACAATGAAATTCTTTATTTTGGGTAGCTTATTGGTAGCTGCTGTGGCAGCTTCCTTGGAGCAAGATGCGTTCCAAGCATTCAAGGTATGAACTTTACACTCAAATTCAAAGACTACTAGTGTTTACGTAAAGCCCTGTTTCGTATATTTCAATATAAAACGGACACTTATTCCGCATTTATAGTGAACTAAGCTGCGGATTGTTGTAATTTTTTAAAAATAGCTTATAAATTAATTATGCTAATTCGCGATTGCTTGCAGCTGAAACACAACAAAACATATAAGACTCCCGTCGAAGAAACCACCAGGTACGGCATTTTCCAAGCTAAACTTTTGGAGATTGAGGAGCACAACAGCCGTTTTGAACAAGGACTAGAAACCTACAAGAAAGGTATGTGATAAAATGTTTAATTATGTAACCAATTGGTGTATCTGGCTTACGAAGTAATCTGCTTTTGATTGTGAGCCTTATGAGAGTAAAATAAAACGCTTGGCTTTATTGACAGGAGTAAACAAGTTCAGTGACTGGACTCACGACGAATTCAAGGCTTACCTTGGCCTCCATCCTAAACCAGCCAAACTTGGTAAAGGTATTCCATACGTGAAAACCGGAGTTTCAGTTCCTGCTTCGGTTGACTGGAGAACTGAAGGATACGTAACTGGAGTGAAAAATCAAGGAGACTGTGGTTCATGCTGGGCATTTTCTCTGGTGCGTTTATCTACATATTATTTGAAATGGTCTAGTTGATCAACAAGTTTTCACATTTTTCAGACTGGATCCGTTGAAGGTGCCTTGTTCAAATCAACTGGAAAGCTTGTATCCCTTTCAGAACAGCAACTGGTAGACTGCACTTATGGTACAGTGAACTTTGGATGCGATGGCGGATACCTGGAAGAAACCTTCCCCTACATTCAAGAAACAGGCTTGGAAGCTGAAGCCAGCTACCCATACAAAGGTAAGTTTATGGAAAACAGTTAACTTAATACCAGCAAAATATTCGTGCATCAAAGAAACTTAATTTAATTTATTTTGTTAATCAGCACGAGATGGCACCTGCAAATTCGATGCTTCCAAAGTTGTAACGAAGATCAACGACTACGTTTACTGGTACGGTGATGAAGAAGCTCTGTTAGAAGCTACTGCTACTATTGGACCCATTTCTGTTGCAATGGACGCCAACTACATTGATTCCTACGCTTCTGGAGTATTTTCAAGCCGATTGTGCAGCAGTGACGATCTGAACCATGGTGTCTTGGTGGTAGGATACGGATCTGAAAATGGAGTCAACTACTGGTTAGTTAAGAACTCCTGGGCTGCAGATTGGGGTGAGTCCGGCTACCTGAAGCTTCTTCGTGGACAAAACGAGTGTGGTATTGCTGAGGATGATTCCTACCCAATCGTTTAAAGATTCATCGCTGTCTTTTAAAGTGTATTCCATCTGATTAGATAATTACATATTAATATATAGATTGTTTTATTAAAATGCCTAAAATACACATACTAATGTGATATTGTATACCGCAAATACAGGGTGAAATTGGCGTCATTCCGCTGATGGTCCTTAAGAAGTACAGGAAAAATAGTTAAACAGTTCAGTTTTTGAAGTATTAAGGATGAAGCTATTCCTCTGTAACTATCCGTGAAAAGTTGCTTGGGAAATTGTCATTTCATGCGCAATAATCCCAGTTATCCTGGAAAGCACCCATGACATTATTTCAAATAATCGGTTTCTCTATCTCTGGGACTTGAACACTTCTTGGTCGTCCACTATCTGCCTCAATTCCTGAAGCCAATCGTCCAGTGTCTCTAGAATTTTGCTGGAGTAAGTTCTTACAGCTTCTGCTACGATACTGTGGCAGTCCCCCACAACTAATAGTATATACGCAAATTCGATGTTGGTGTACATTTTGTAAAAGATACATTTTGAAAGATACATTTTGAAAGATACATTTTTCGGACATTTCTACGCCAAAATAGGCAACATAATCGACAAAGGATGGAACATCAGAAGTGAGGCAAATACTACGAGATTTGCACTCATGTGTCATGTTAACTTACCTGTCAGGAGTACCGCAAAGATCAGTGCTGGGCCCTACTCTCTTCAACATATACATGGCAGACTTTCCAACCAACGCCAATACAGAGTGCTATATAAATGCAGACAATGTAGCACTCACCGCCGCAGGGAAAGGCCCTAACATGACTAGACTCCAAAGACATCTGGGCCAGGTCCGGCAATGGAGCAGGAACTGGAAAATAAAGTTTAACTCGTAGAAAACGCAAGCCATTTTCTTCACCAGGGGCTCCAAGACGTCGCCAGCCATACTAGAGCTTGCAGGACAGCGGCTGCCCTGGAGGTCCAAGGTAACCTATCTTAGGCTATCTACGACAAGCGACTGGTATGGCACGACCAGATGACAGCCACAGCAGCGAAGGCAAGATACTTGCTCCAGGCCTACTATCCTCTGCTGACAGGTAAGCTCGATCTGAGAACAAAGGTTAGAGCTTACAAACAGCTAATCCGTCCGGTGCGGACCTATGGATCAACTGCATGGTCCACGGCCTGCATCACGCAAAAGAAGAAGATGGCGGTAATTAAAAACAAGATATTGAGGATAGCAGCCAAGGCCCCGTACTTTGTCAGAAATACCACCCTGCGAAGAGACCTGAATACAGCACACCTGCTGGAGCATTTCCGGAACTTAAAAACAAAGTTCCTGGATAATGCCCGGCAAAGCAAGAATACCACAGTCGGGGTTTCTTGCACTAACAAATTTCACAGTGACCGCAGACCTCTCCTTGCGGACACTAAGAATAAGACGTGGACTACATGCAATGACCAGTTCCAGCACCACATCGAGGACTATGGGCTAGTTTCAGGTTAGATTTAGGAAGCAAGAGAAGATGCAGTAGTCTTAGGCTAGGAATAAGGTAGAGGGCAAACTGTATATTTATTATGTTAGTTTTATTATTGTTACTTCTTAAGTATCCGCCATGGACTCCCTAGAGGACCTGGACTAGATTTAAGTTAAAACAGTTTAGTTAGCCGACATGGAGTCCGTATAGGAACAGGACTAGCTGTAAGTTAGTTTAGGTAGCAAGAGAAGCTGTATTAGATTTAGGTCTAGACTTAGGGGTAATGTGCCATGTTAGGTTAAGGTAGATTTATGGTAGGTTAAGTCGGTAATGTTAATTATAAATAGAGGGTAAACCACTCTAAAAGATGTTAGATTTAAGTACTCGTAGATAAGCTAGCAGTAAGAAATTGTGTAAAATTTAGCTGAAATAAATTATCTTCAAAAAGTCAGTAGATAGCCTAGGCCACGCCCCCTTTTCTGGCCGGTGCAAATATGGCTGGATCACCGACCAGAGCAAGGGGGCACGAATCCGACCAGTCAGATAGTGCTTGATTTTTGCGTTTCCAGCATTCTTGAAGCGCCGTCCTGCTTTTGCAGGAAGTGTTGGTTTGTCGTCATTTTATAGAATGATGACCACGATTCCAAGCTATTAGAAGTAGAAGCAGAAATTTTACACCCTGGACAGATAACATAAAGCGGATTGCAGGAAACAGTATCCAATTAGCATAAGATCGAAATACTTGGCAAAATTAGCGACGTAAAAATGTGTGATAGCAAATGTTCCATATTTGCCTGTTTCCTATCTCCGCCCGTTTTATCTATTTCGGTTCCTTTCTTTCCGGATCCATTTTTATTGGGTTTCTCACTAGGTCTTCTAATTTCATTTTCCTTCCGTCTTTCCACGGAATTAAATACTTCATCAGCATCATCGCAGATTTGCTTCCTTTTTTTTCGTGTTGCTATCGTTTGTTGCACGTGTTTATCTCTATGGTTATCAGTGTTCCTTTGTTGACTGAATTCTCTAATTTCGGACCCAATGACAAATTGTTTTATTTCGGCGATTTATAGTTATTGGCTTTGCTCCGCAAAGGAAAAATATCTGGTTTTCTTTAAACATAAAATGGTGTTTTCCAAGCTTCTGATGTGTCGGGTTGATCTTACTACCCCGACACCATTTCCACTAATACCAACAAAGGTAAATTTTGAAAAAGATAAAGTTCTTTTGATAGGTTAGTAAAGAATAATAAGAAATAACGTCACAAGGCACTTCACGCACCAAAAATAATGAACCACTTTAAAAATAAATTAAGCATTTCCGGAGAACATATCAAACTATCTAAAATTATAAAAAAAACTTGATGGGCACCTGCAAAGGTTTCATAGATGAGTAAATTAAAATCAGGGGCAAAATTAGGAACGGTCGAAACCTGACTGAAACTGCAACGATTTCCTTCCCTCTGGATTTACAAGTGAAAATAATAAAGCTGCATTAACAACTGTTGAAGTCATCTAACGAATATCTCTATGCGAAAATGTTTGATCGCCTTTGATAATGTCCACCGCAGTTGTGGACGAAACGTCAGGAAGAAATTCCCATAGACCACGGCTTCAAAGCCCGGAAAACATTTCTAAATGTAACTTCAGACTTCGTGGTGGGAGGTATGGGGTCGGGAAATTAGCCTCTCGTCTGAACTCAGCGTTGTCAGACGAAGAACTGCGAAAACGGTAGAATAGATAGGAAAAAAACGGTAGATTTAAAAATAAAACGGTAGACAATTTATTGTCCCTAAATTTCTGCTTTTCAAATTTTTTAAGTGGTTTTTAAAGGTACTTTAAAAAAAATTGCATTTTGAACAAAATATTTTTTTAATAACTCAATTTACGTAAAATTAAAATAAAATAACCGAGTTGTACTACTCTGTCGAAACTTGTCATATGAGAAGATGGATGGCAGCATAGCTACCAGAACGAGCAATGAAACATATCAATTCCTTTGTACATAAGCTGGAAGACTGATGACAGAATCGACAGGACTTGTCTTTTTTACACGAAGAAGGAGAAGAAGCATAGGAAATAAGTATTATTTATGGTCTGTTATATTATTGAAAACATTTATTATGTTATCAAAATTTTACATTTCTGTATTAAAATATAGTGTAGTCTCTAAAAAGAGAGGTTTTGGTTCAATAAGTTTTTACCTAACCCCGTATACTTATTCTGAAAATGGCAGATTATTATCGACATTATAAAGGAACTTTTGCGTGAAATATTTTTCTATTTTAACAAAGAAAATATAGGTCCCTCAAGGCCACACAAACAGGTGCACTAAAATATTGTAAGCAACCTCGGAAATGGGAGGAACCACGGCGGGACGGCAACAATGGAAAGCGCGATTAGAACGGGAGTGGCAACACCGGCGCTATTTCATAGCTTGGATATTAGATGGCGCGACAATACTACCGGGCAATGACTGGACATTGTCCAGGAATGATTGGGAAATCAGTGATCGTTGGTGGATTGATTTGATGGATATTGTGCAAGGCGTTCATTAAATTGCTTGACTTTATATCGAGTATATTCTTTTACGAAAATTAACCCTTACGATATGTTTCGAATGACCCAAGTTTCCAGAAGGATTCTGATATCATTTCTGACTTGGTTTAAAAACACATTACCAAAAATTTATATTTTAGACTTGGTCAGTTTTAGCTTTAAGCATTTTATCCAGGGTGATTCAAAATTGGCGTCATTCCTCTGGAGGTGTGGTCTGGCGACGTTTTAGGAGTACAAAAAAATTGTAAAAAAATTAATTGCTATTAAATTCTGAGAAATTTGCAAAAACTATATCATCAAACGGCAGCAATGTTTTTCAAGGTAATCTGCCTAATTAACATTACGGAAATACCTGTCGCTTCGTAATTATTGAAAACTCCGGTAACCATGGATTATAAAGAAAGTGACAATAAAATAGACAAGGATAAACGGTAAATTCAACAGGATTCGTTAACAGTGGAAGGTACTTCTAAATTTCATGTTCGTCGAAATATACTTATAATCTCAAATTTATGTTTACAAATAAAAATACATTTGAGTCATGAAGTCGAAACAAGTTAGTGCTTCTGTAGTCTCATCATTATCCGCTGTTATCTCGTATTTGGATAATTAACTCCTGCTCAGTTTGTACCAGTGTTCAGTAATCGAATGGTATAATCCGTCCTTGTGCTGTGTCTTACATACGTGGTAGGAATTGCAAAATTGGTGCTTGCGAAAGTGTCAGTTATTGTGCTCTGAGTACCTCTGGAAGGCTCTGCTGCAATTATGTCCAATACTTGTTCCGGTGCGTCTGGAACCCGAACATCTACCGTCCACTATCTTTCTGGAACCACTCTCCTTGCCCTTTGTTGGCGTGAGTTCTTAGAGCTTCTGCTATTTTATTGTTGCATTTCCCGAGAACTAAACCCATATCGGCAAATTCGTGAAAGCAGCTTCAAAGTAAGTCGCAGTTTAACAAATTATTGTTATTGTTGACAAAGGCTGTCTACATGTAACTATCTGTTAATGACAAAAAAACATCATTGCCGCTTTGACTTTTCATTAAAGAATAGTAGAAGAGAACCTTTTTAATAAAAAAAATTTTCGTAACTTGAAGCAAAGCTCGTAATTTTTCTTTTTAAATGCTTAAGTATCCCAATATGCTACCAATTATATATAGAACAATTTCAAAACAGCGCTTAATAACAAAGTTGAAATTTGATTTTTAGCTGTTAGTATCTTCTGGAAATTATCGAAAAAAAAATTCAATATTTTTCTCGTACTCTATAATACACCCTGTATACTACCTTTTTGTAAACACTAACTGTTACGGAAATACCTGATAAAAGTGTCGAAAATGGGACACACTGTAGTTCTCCTTAATGTAAGACCATCGATTTTTGTTCTGCTTTTAATAATAATTACATATATGAAAATAGGATTTATTTTCAACAACAGCCCTTGACGCACATAAAAACAACTTAACTTGATTCGGGTAGAATCAGAGCCTAAATCTAAGAACCTACACGTAATAAATGCTAAAGTTTAAACAGGCACTATGTATATACAACGTTCGTCAAATATTCCACAACTTCGTCTATAATTTATAGACTCGCGTTAGTCCGAATTCATATTCACCATTTTTACTTTCAGCTTCTGGATTATTAGGCGGCTTGGGCAGCTTCTTTTCTAGCTTGGGCAAAGGGATTAGTAATGAGTCGCGCCACATTTTGTAGCACAGTTATGGGAATCTAAAAATTGAATCACTGATTGTTCTGGCACGAGCATAGAGCGTATTTTCAGCTAATCTACCTGGAAGATGTCGTCTATAATTCTAGCGAACATTGAGCCGGCTCTTTGCGGCCGGAAACCGCCATTGTCCTGGGGAGTTGCAGGATTAGCAGGCGCCGGATTTACGCCAGTGGAAATTCCAGATATTTCCACGGTACTTGGCACCAACTGGTTGAACTGATGCTGACCAGTTTCGCCTTTTCGATCTTCCGAAACTGTGTTGATGGCCACGTCATTTACGGTAGCCTGAAACAATTTGAAAACTGCTGATAGTTCTACACCTTTCAGGGAAAGTGCCAGGATCAAGTATTTGTTTTGAATGTAACACCCTATATATTTATGGACAGGTCGATTGAAATTTTTCTGCCGATTACAGAAATATATATATATATACATATATATATTGCCTAGATTTCTATATATATATATATATTGCCTAGATTTCTATGAGCCGTTTCTTCTGTATTATGCTTTAAAAAATCGAAATAGCAACAATGTAAAGCAGCCTGAAACGAAAGAAAACTATCAAAAGAAAACATATCGGAATTTATTGCCACTATAAATTTCAAAACAGATAAATAAATAAAAACAAAATCATTAAAATCACTGATTTGGTATATGACCTCCGTTAAGAGCTGCTTAAGACATGCTCTATAATATACTTCAAACTTATCTATAACATTTTGAATATATTGGTTAAGATTAATATTAATATCGTTAATTGTATCGATTAGAGAAGAATCAAGAGGCGTTAGGTAGAGATATTTGGAGGCCATTGGGATATCAACATTTTCATTTAAAAAAAGTGCTACCGGGTGAACGGTATGGGATGGAGGGAGCACCTTTTCGAATCTTATTGTTTACTATTTATAATTTTTAAAACGTAATATAGGAAAAACGGCTAATACCAATATAGAAATACATATTTTTGAATTTAGGAAAAAAGTCATATTGGTATATCTAAAAACATATAGGATGTTTGACATAAAAAAATACCTTATGTCAAATTTTTACATTTTCATGTTTTACATTTTGATTTTAAATTCGGAATTTAAAAAAATTGAGGAAAAAAACAACTTTTGTGTTGGTCACTTTCACAATTTTTCGTCGAGAAAACGATCTAGGGGTGTCAACTAATCAGGAAATATTCTGTAGATAGTTAAAAAAATAAAATTTTTCATTACTTAAAAAACAAGAACAAGATATGATGAAGCTGTGACGAACTATGATTGTTTTTTAAATTATTGAAATTTTTTTTTAACTATCTGTTTTTTTAGAAAAACTGATGATGGTGGAAAACACCGAAACGTATTTTAATTGATAAATAGAGACAATAAATGACTGAAACCCAGGAATTGATTTTGATTTGTAAGAGTACTAAATGCGTATGTTATTATTAGAATATTTCCAATTAGGTACACAGCTATTTTTTTAATGGAACATAATTTTTTTAATGGAACTATAATTAGTCTTAAGTCCTACGTAAATTGAAATTTCTTTTTGTAATTTCATATATCAACGAAAACTGTATAGTTTTTAGTTATTCAGCTTAAAGACCTAAAAAGCCGAAATTTCGCAATTTTAGGGTGTTGATAAATAAAAATTTTCTGCGTCGTCTTGACACAAAAAACTTGGAAAATTTGTCAGGTGTAAAAACTGCACAAGCATTTGGTTTGTAAATATTTGGCTTTTCAACTACAGAGCAGTGATAATCAATATAATTTTATTCCAATGAATCTAAATGTGCCACTTTTCGATCGGAAGCGATGATCATAAAGAAGCAATTATCTTTACTGTTCATTTGCTTTACTTGTGCGCAAAAATTGGGTATACAAACTATTTAACTTAATTAACAAACGCACTGACAACATTCAACATGTGTCTTTTGGCAAAGTAAGATTTTTCGGTTTGAAAAGATACTGAATTTATGACCTTCCTGTATTTTCAAACACAAATTATGATCTAGCAAAATTTTAATATGTCCTCTCGCCTACCAAATTCCAAAGTTTTGTTTCAAAAAGCCATGAGAACGTGAATTTCCGTCGTTAAGGCCGAATATCGGAAAAACCATCCAATTTTCGATCATACTTTGTTTAAAAAAATTAATTTTAAGTTTATATTAGAATTCAAACATAATATGAATTAAAAAAAGTAGTTTTTTTTCGCAAACTTTTCGGACGCACTCTGTTTAATTGTAAATATTTTCTAAATATGCGCGTTTAGTACCTTTACAATCGGGATCTGAAAATGTTGAAACAAATAACAGCAGTTAAGCTTAAACTTACTTGACTCTACTGTTGGGACACCCTGTACATTCAATGAAATCGTTGGTAAGTGAAAGTTCATTGACATAACAGTCACTTATACAAGGCGTGTTCAAAAGACAAAAACTTTAATTTGAGGATTTGCCGAAGTTCCTTTTTTAACTCAAATTATGACTGGCATTAACATAACAAACAAACACAATTTTATGTGCGCTTTAAATACAAATCTGCAAGTTTATATGGTTAACGTATGGGTTGATTCTCCCACGTCCTTTCACATTGAAAAAACGTCTTTATAACCGCTCGACTTTTTTTTTGGGATTTATATTCATCCAATTTCTACCTGGGTCAAAATCTGGATCACCTCATAGTCAGTGTTCGTGTTGAAAAATTGCTCTCATGTTGAAAAATCAGTCTTATTCAGCAAATTTTTAATAGGAATTGAAATATTTTCCTGGTTCATGTTACAATTGCGAACAGAAGCGATTGCATCAACTGGCTGCTAAATACGCGGCTTGGGCAAAGGCAAACGTTTCTTATTGTATTACTTTCTAATAAGCAAGGTTGCTGCTAAGATTTAAGAGGTAATTCAATGTTTGCTAGCATTTATGGTATTCATTTACGTTCTGTATACTAATTTGCTGCACAAAAATTAACTTTTTTTTCATGAGCATGAGCTGCAATCTGGAACTCTACTCTGAAAATTCCATCACAGGTTAAACTAACTGTGTTTTATAAATCTAAAATCTATATAGCTAACGAACTGCAATTTTTTACGCTTTTGACAATATGTGCATTTTGTTCAAATTATTGGCAGATACAGTTGTGAGCGTAATTATCGATACTTCCCAAGCGACACTGGGAGACTTGGGGGTAAACAAAGGTATAATTTACTTAGGCGGTCACGAGTCACGTCCTACTTTTATATAAATGGTTCCTACAAAAATGTCAATCTGCCCACAATTTCTATTTTAAAATTTGCGTTTTTAAAATTGCAATGTCCTATTTCTCTTCTCGACAGGAGCGTGTTCAGCTTCAAAAGTAAATATGATTTTCTATAAACTTATAACTATTAACCACAGGCGGGAAGAGCAAGATGTTTGCAATCCTGCTCTGAAACATTTTTTCCATGCGGCAACAGTTTGCCCCATAAATTCTGGGAAGACAAAAGTTTGATATTAAATTCATCGATTCGAAATGAAAGAAAAATAGAAGACCTTACTGGTTGCAACAAACAACATCCGCACTGTGCGACTAGAAGAACTTCTGGAGGACCTAGAAAAAACTCGAAAACATTAGATGACACATCATAAGACTGTGTAAGACAAGTATGCCAGGGTAGACATCTACGGTACTAAAGTCGGGACATCAAATTATCCAAAGGAACTCAACCGACCATCATCATTTGAGGAGAGTGGCTCTGCGCGTCCACCATAGACTTAAACAGCAAACCACCAGCAGCAGAGCAATATCAGACCGAGTTATCTACATCGAGCTGAAGCTAAAGTCAAGACACTGCATTAAGATTATCTAAGAATATGCACCGACATCAACCGCCACAAAAGTGGAAGTGGAACAGTTCCACGAAGAAATCTCGACTACTAAGACCTTGGGACGAGCAAAATGGACGGTGATCCTTAGCTATTTCAACGCTAAAATTGAAGAGAAACAAGTGGGAGACCCAGACAACATTGTTCATACGGCCTGGGCAAGAGAAATGTACATGGGATAGTTACTATTAGTATTCATAAACAAGGAGATCTTCTGTATTAACACATTCTTTAAAAAGTCCAAACAACGAAAGTACACGTGGATAAGTCCGAATGGACAGGCCATCTGCGCTAGGTCGTTTGAGTAAAGGAAGTGACATGACAGGAAAGATGCATAAATACTCCTATCCTATCACTCCTACATAGAACAGAAACACCAACCTGTAGAGATGCTGAAAGATTTAGATTTTAACATCCTACCCGGAAAAATTAACAAAGACGTCCAAATCTCAGTGAAATAAGTATGCTAACTACAAAAAAGTAGGCCATCAAAGCTTAGTTCAGCCACAGTCAATCTGCAAAAGACTCGAAGAGAGATGATAGAGATCCACCAGACCACAGAGCAATTGACAAATAAGTAATGAAAGAGATGAGAAGTGTTCTAAGAAACCATAACACCCATCTCACACAGCATGCAATTGAAGACAACCTTAACATGAAGGAATTTAGATCGAGTAAGAGAAGAGAAAAACAGGCCATACAAAAAATGAGAAATGAACAAGGCACAATAGTGTATGAAGAGCAGGAGATCGTCATCACCATTCAAATCTTTAATCGAAAGCTCTACAGACAGGAAATGCCAGGCACAGGTTACCAGAGAGATGACAGAGCAGAAATTCTAGATGTGGGATCGGAAGGAATAGCGAAAATCGGCACATCCGAACTAGAGGAAGTACTGAGATCCATGGAAAACCGCAAGGCTCTATGGCCCCGCAGAAGACTGTGCGGATACTGACCGAGAAATCTAGGGAATAAGATCTTCTTCTTCAACTTGGGTTCGTCGACCATCAAAAGACATTTGACTCGATGGAAGGACGGGCAGTGCTAAATGAATTGGATAAGGCGGGTGTCGACTCACTATACTCCACTCTGATAAAAAGAAACTGCTACCAGAATGCCACTTTTCACGTGACGAAAAATTCTCATGAACAGAGGAGTTAGACCAGGAGATTGAATATCCCCAAAACTTTTCACCTTGGCTTTCGAATGAGTTTTCAAGACCTTGGATTGGGAGTTAAACGGCATTAACGTTGACGGAAGCTACTTAAGCCATATACGTTTTGCAGACGACATTGCCCTGTTTAGCAGTGATCATGACGTCTGAGTAAAAAGCTAGAGTTCTTTCTTCCAACCCATAGATCAAGTGGGATTCAGAAAAGGCACCACCGAAAATATTTAGACTCTGTGCACACTGATGGAGAAATTTAGGGAGTACTATGTCCCTCTCTACCTTGGGTTCGTCGCCTATCAAAAGGCATTTGACTCGGTAGAGGAATGGGCAGTACTAAATGAATTGAATACTGCTCGGTTCGACTCAAGATACTCCGGTCTGATAAAGATATGCTATGAGAATGCCACTATTGACGTGAAGATACCAGAAATCCTCAACAGAAGAAAAAAATCCTATGAACAGAGCACTTATATCAGGTGGACCAAGGTGTATAGATAGAAATAGACAATATATGGTAGTTACAAAGAATCCGAGGCCTCAAATTGGGCAGAATTTAACCTTTATTGAGTTCAACTTCGAGGTGGCTAAGAATTTAAGGATTTCGGAGCGGTAATGACGAATGACAATCGAGTAAAAAAATATATCTTAGCACGACGAAGGGCTGGAAATAGGGCATTATACTCGCTTACACAGACTGTTAAAGATAAAATCCAAATTCACTTTGTTTTCAAAACTTGCCTTCATGGGTTTTTGAAATTCCAGAATTTTCAGAAAACCGTAAAAAAATCACACTAACTCTAACTTTTCTTCTTACTTCGAATCAACTGTGCTCCGTGCAAGCGAGAATCTGTAAAATTTTCCATATCGTTCACTCGAAAACGTTAACTGTTAGCAACCAAGCTGACACCGACTCAATTGAAATTTCCGAAAATTGAAACATTTGCCAAAAATTGCCTGACGATGGCGGCAGAGGGTCTAACATTTTCGCGCATCAGTGGTCAATCATTCTTCACCAAATGTAGTCACTCGAGCTCGTTGGACGAAATCCAACGAGCTTGTGGAAGGAGAAGCTTTGAAAAATTCGCTTAGTCGATTTTGAAAATTCATTTAAAATAGCCCGAATATTGCCAAAAACTGAAACTGTTTTCTCCTTATTGATCTCGCCTGATCATTGAGATTCTGCACCCTAAAAAATTTCAACATGTTTAATTGAAAATCGTCAAATTTTCCGCACCAGACTCTGAATATTTCAATCAATACGCATTTGAAATTTTTAAAAGTTTTAAAAATACTCCACAGCCCGCGAGATGCACACCGATAGAAAATCATAGTGCATCAAACTCAGCATCTATCAAAAATCATTTTTGCTGTATCTGGTGATATTTGCGTGCTCAATTTTTCGCCACTTTCTTTGAACTTTAGCGCTAAACTTTGCAGGTCGTTCCCGTCTTCTGCTATTAATACGACATCACTCAATCTGTTTCATGATTTCTTCTTATACTAAGTTAGATAAAAGCAAACTTGGCATGGCGAAAATGTTTTTTGTATAAGCTTAGTTGGTTCTAGTGCATGCTTTTGGCCTCCATATTTTAGAAGCTCCTTCAGTATTTCATCTTGGCTTGGTGATTTTTTGGTTTCGTAAGCGTTTTATTGTTATTTTCACTTCCTGAAGCTAACTTTTTTTTAACTTGTCTTATGTGTGGTGTATTTGGTCCGGTTCGAAGTCGTTGAGATTGATGTTAGCCATATTTGTTTTTGGGTTTTGTTAAAGTCCGCTTCAATTTTTTTTTGAGAATTGTTTCCTATACTGGATCTTTGTTTGGTGCTTGTTCGCCAGAAGCAAAATGACAAGACTGAAAACTGCAAACTGACGCACACAGATGTGTCTATTAGTTACTTGGATATGATTCATTTTTAAGCGATCCCTTAATTTAAATTAATAAATTTTTTTAGCCCCTAAATTCTGGAGTTTGGTTGAGCTTGCTTCACACATTTATAATTCAATGGATAATTCACAACTGCAATAAAAATTAAATGCTTTCATTTGAAATAAATAGAACAGACCTTGGAACAATTAGAAAAGACCTACAACTAAAAATGGATATACAAACGTTGACAAAGAAGAAAAGAAGAAGATTTAAAAAAATCAAGTTGATGGTTGTAATTAATTTTTGGCTCCTCTGGAACCTTGTGGTAATAAATTTACCATAAAAACTAATTTAAAATTAGAAATATGCTACGAGCGTTTCTCCAAAAAAACGTATCGTTGAATTCTAAATCAATTTAGACAGTTATTCTGGGACTTACTGTACACACGTGGAGTTGATTAAATAATAAAATTAAATTTTCCAAACCTTTAGAATGTACCCGTTGTAAATTCTCATGTATGACTGAAACACACTCTACATAGAAACGCCGTTTTAGAACTCGACGCAAAGTAGGTACGTGACTGTAACTTAAAAAAAAATGCCGTTCATAACACTTGACTGTTGTATGCTTCAATTCAAAAACCTAGCTGAAAACCGTTGAATAAAAATGACAATTTCCCCGAATTACTGAATCGGAAACAGCATGAAACGAAAGCACCAAAAAAGGAAATGTGAAAGTCGACCTTCGATTGCAATTAAATGGCGCATTAGGGGCGTGACTGATTTGGTCAAAGGCAGTAAAGCTAAGAAAGTGCCGAAAGTGGAAGACCGGGAACCAAGGCACACTTCTAAAGCACAAAAGCTAGACAAGCAGCAGTTTATTTACAACACGCGCTCTCGTTTTGCCCATGGTCTTGATTCCTCTCGCCAAAGTTACTTACACTTGAGTTACGTTGTTGGTACGTCATGTTGTCCACGTATTCTTTAAAGTAACTCTGACCCGACCTTGTGGTCGCTACATATTCGCCACTGTCCCGACGTTTCTATAACATTTCAAAGACCATCAGCAGAACTAAGCTAGGGCGATTTGGGGGCGCCTTTTGTCGCAAACGAGCACGTTTTAAGGGTCGGTTGGGCTTCACTCACCTTATCCAGCTGGTCATTGTTTGCAGGCATGCCGACCGCCATTCCCAGCATACAAAAACTGAATAGAACGAGCAATTTCGCCATTTTCAATCTGAAAATCTAATCAGAAATCCAAAGTTAATACTCGAGAGTTACTGGAAGCGTGAAATTATTTAATAATCTGCCAGTTTCGGAGTCATTCACAAGAAATAGGACATGTGCACATTTGCATAAACTTGTGGGTGCGGTAGAATTGCCCCATGAGAACATTGCGAAATTAGTCTGAAGTTCTTATTAGTCCAAAACGATTGGAACACTTATTAACAAGCATGTAAAATGCACTAATTTGGTAATTATTAAATTTGGAAATTGTCCATATCGATGACAACATTATCGGCAATTGATGCATGTCGGGGCGGCCCCGTTTTCGCTGCAGTGCCAAGACATGTTCTAGATAGGAATTTTGCTTCCTGAACCACTTTCATATTAAATGATTGCCTTAAAATTTTCAAACTTGATGTTAAATAATAGCGAAAACTGATGTTTGCAGACAAAAGGCGTTTCCTTATCTACTACTACGAGCTTCGTATGCGAATGGGGAAATTTCTTCAAAGCAAAGTGCTGACTTATGCAAACACAAGGAAATAAATGTTCAGAGGAATTTTACAAATTATTATAGAAAATTGATATTTTATATTGAAAGTTCCCTAAATTAGACATAAAACTGCGACCGACAAATCACGTTCACCAAGCAAAAAAAGCTAAAAGTAAAAGTATTGCATTGGTTAGTGATTCATCAGTCTTCATCATCATCAGATAATAATTCTAAATTTTATTTTTAAATCTAAATTTTGGATTACTACAACTGAATTGATAATGCAATTACGAAACTTACCACTGAAAAAAATACTCTTGCACTAAACAACTGGACACTTTGTAAGTACCGCGGTGCTGCACTCGACTGTTTACCGGTGCAAGAAGTGCTGGGCTTATGCGACGGTGGATTTCTCCTTCTACGGAAACTTATTGCGAATTGTTCTTTGATAAGTTCTGAGGTTATATTGACTCTATGCAATATTAGTTGCAAAATTAATTGAATTTGAATGTTTAGCGCTAGCGATGAGTCATATTATCATTAGGAAATAGATAACAGCTAATGATAATAGATTCCCACTAATGGAAATTGCACATTTGCATCTTACCCTAATTAAGAATACTTTCCACTTTCTGACGAATTATTTAGTGTCTGTCTAGAAAAGTTTCCGCAAAACCTGAAAGTAATTTAAATGAAGAGGGCATGAAGACTAGTGGGATTGGACCGGTGAAGTTCTGAAACTGTTTTGAAACATTTTGAAAATTTAACTGTTATCGTAACCCGAGATTAAAAACTGGTATTATTGTACAAAAGTGGGTCCTATTCGCTTCAAAGCCACCAACCGCCAGTAAGCTTCAAAAATTATCAGTTTGCCATTAACTTGTCTATACCTTCATTGTATATACTTTCCTGACTGTGACCAAGGCTTAAAGCAGCAACAATGCTATATATAAAAACTGATGGTGGAAAAATACACCGAAACGTATTTTGATTAATAAATAGAGACAATAAATGACTGAAACCCAGGAATAGATTTGACTTGTCTATACCAAAATTCAGCAGATATGATTTTAATGAAATAAAACCAATTTTATTCCTTCTTAGCATTCGAACATTTTTCAATCGTTACTAAACTCTTCATGACTTACGGAAATTCCAACGAAAAATATAAACTTTGCTATATAATTACCTACTCGTTCAATTCCAAACAAGAAACCTGCCCTGAGTTTTTCGAACCGCTAATACTTTCGTTAAAGAAAATTAACTCTTGAAGTAAAAATTCACCTCTTAGATCTCCACACCAATAAATATTTTAATAAAATTTTGAAGCTGTTGGCCATTGATTTTGCTCAACGGTTAGACAAAGGCTGCATTTTCGTGAGCATTTTCCTTGAGATGTCAATGTATGCAAATTTGGAAAACTAGAACTTTTAGGGACATCAAAAAATTAAACTAAATTGTTCAGGAATGTTCAAAAGCAGTTCAGTTCAGTCCTCCATCAGCCAAAATACTATAAAACCTAGATTTTTCAAAAATCCAGAAAATTGTTCAGAATATCGCGATTCGTCTTGAGATTTTTTTTCTTTTTCATTTTTAATTTTTTCAAAAACCTCCAACTTTTTTGTCATTTTATAGGCATAAATGTGTTTCTCAAGATGAGCCTTTGAAAACAAAACCACTTTTTGTGGTTATAAAAATGTGCACCCACTTACTTATAAAGTTCCAAAAAATACATCACAAGTCGAGGAGCACCTCGTCGGAAAATTCGATGTAGAAAATTGTCTATTAGGGATATGCACTTGCGATTTTCTTCACTGGTACGAAGTAGCACGAAGTGGTATCGAAGAGAAAAGTATGAATCCCCATTCATTTTCAATGAATTTGTCGAGGTCCACACCTCGAAATTTTCATCAATTTCTGTAGATTAAAAAAAATTGCGAAGTTTTAGAGTATCTACTACTAAAATATCTAAGTCTAAGATTGACCCGTCGAAAAATTCGACGTTAAATAAGTTCCGGGGGCGGTATAAATTTTCGGTTCCTACTGAATGAATGAGCAACAAATGAGCATAAACTGGCCTATCAAAGTGCAAAATATGATACCGCTACCACTTTTGAAAAATCGAGAAAAGTGTTCAGAATAATCGCGATTCATCCTGAAACACATGTTTTATGAATTTGCAATTCTGGAAAACAATGGAAAACTGTCAATATTTTTGTCCATTTATTGGCAGAAATAGATTTCTCAAGATCCAGGCCTTGGAAACAACATCACATTCGGAGGTATGAAAAAAAATGCAAAAATGCACACCCACTTACTTATAAATTACCTAAAGAAATATATCAAAGTATATGAGCAAACGCTCTTAAAATGCGACGTAAGAAATTTTCCCGTAGCAATACGCACTTGAGAATTTCAACAGAACAGTCAACATGAATTGAGCTATAGAGGAAGAAACATTGCCTTATCGATTTTCTAAAAGCCACAAAACTGTTTAGAATATCGCGATTTATCATTAAAACCACTTTTTTTGAATTCCGATTTCTTGAAAAAAACAACCGATTTTCTATAAATTTATCGGTAAAAATGGAATCCTCGAAGTTCAAGCCTTCGACACAACACCACCTTGTGTGGATTAAAAAAAACATTTTACTCTCACCTAGCAATAGAGTAGATACCTAAAAAACTCTATCAAAGTGTAGAAGCGGCTCCCTGGAAGATTCTAAAAGCCGTCAAACTGTTCAGAATTTTGCCGGTGTGTGTAAAAACGAAGTTACGTTACGAGATACGGCTACACGTCTGAACGCGCCTTTAGATTCACCAATGGCGTTCTTGGCGCGCCAGAATTAATCTGTTTCTAATGTTTGCAAATCTGTACCTGCGATTGATCAAAATCTAATTTGTGTGTATAATATAATCTGCCTGTCTAATTGCTGGCAGCCCCAGCTGATGCGAACAGATACAACCACCAAGAAGCTCTAGAGCAAAGGTTTCCAAACTGTGTTCCGCGGCATATGAACTAGTGTTCCGTGGAAACATTTGCTTGGCATTTCATACGCCCTGATGCGGGCTCCATGAAAAATGTGGGAAACTTTTTTGGAGGCGTTAATTTTAACGCCTTCAAAAAAAGTAGGTTATCCGTTAAAATTTCTGCAGTTGGAAAGTTTAGAAAACCTTGATCTATAAATTGCCTAACGATCCATATTGTAAATTTTAAATGGTACAATTTTTAAATTTTTTATTTAAACATAAATTGATTTTTATGTTTGTCCAATTACAAAAAACAGATGTGTCTGTAACTCCAAACAAGTGCCTGTGTAATCACCCTATTATTCACTCTTTTCGAGCAGCATCTCGCATTGGGTTAATTAACTCCTGCTCAATTTATACCGGTGTTCAGTAATCCATTGGTTTAATATGTATCGTACATACGTGTTAGGAATATAGCTCGTATTTATTTAGTGCCTGGGAAAGTGTCAGTTGCTGTGCAATGTTCTAAGTGCCCCTGAAAGACCCAATACTTGTTCCGCTGTGCCTAGGAATCCAAACTTTTCTGGCTAAAGCACGTGGAGCTCGTTGGTGTCCTCCTTGAGTCTTTCCAGTATAACCCTTCAATATAACCAGGCTGATAGGCCTGCAGTTTTGGGCATGCTGTTTTCCTTAGACTTCGGGAACATGATGACTTCTGAGTGCTTCCAGATGCTTGGAAAAAGACCATTAATGAAAATGGCATTAATCCGGTTAGTTACAGCTACCAGTCCCTTTCTCAGCAGGCCCTTCAGCATTTGTTGGCGATTCCATCGCTCTCAGGGGCTTTCTTAGCTTTGATACTTCTGTTTGTGGCTGCAACTTCTGTTCGTGAAGTTTGAAGGATGTGGCTGCTTGGCGTTTCACTCCAAAGCATTTTTACTGTCCTTCTGACAGTTGCTTCGTGGCGTAAGTTATCGTATGGGTGGTGGTTTACTCTGGCCTCGCTCTTAATTGCTTACGCAAACGCCTAAGCTTTCGTACCATCTGCAAATACCAGATCTTGAGCTCGGTTGAATTTCCGGTTCTTATGGTTCAGCAAGGCTTCTTTCAGCCATTGCCCTTGAAGGGCGATTCCGTTTTCTTCTGCGAGATGCTTGCGGATTGTCCAGCGTAGCCTCCTATGGTTGGTGAATTTTCTGCAGATAAAGACCGGAAGTTCTTTACTAACTAAAGGCAACTCCGTAATCACCGAGCTTTTGTAGTGTGTTTGTTGGATGGCCACTTCCCGACTTTTTACTGCTTGTTCCACACCCTGCTTATGTGTGGTGGCACCTGTAGAATTTCGGTTAGTAGGTGTGTAATCTCTTAGAACGTTACGCCGTTGGTTGTGGGTAAGATCGTGCGCAGTGATATCCTTTCTTCTTGACCACAACACTTGTCGGGATCTATGGGTCCAGGATTACTCCACTTTGGGCATCTACTGCTTCTGTTCACAGTCGACTTTTACTGCTGGTATGCATGCTATCCCACTCCGCTTTTGCAGTTTAGATCACCTTCATCATCCTTAATTGTCCCCTAACATTGTCTGGATGGCTAGCAGGTTTAGGGCCTCCTGAAGGGTTCCCTAAACGGAAATACCAATTACTGGCCCCTTGGAGGTGTTGACTTGCACGGTGATGGCGTATATCTCGGTGTCCTCAACTCGTATGCTATGATGGCGACGTCCTTCTTAATTAGGAGGGCCACTCCTCCACGTTGGATGCTATCGTCGTGCCTGTGAAAATAAATTGAGAAGGTTATTGACCAATTTACATAATGGAAGAGCCGCCCCTGAAAAACACATGTACTTTTGTGGTTAACCGTGATCAGTGTTGCCGTCTGCAAATAATACTTAGGTTCGATGACTGTAGAACAATTTTCGTTGAGGTTAATTTTAATTTTTTTGTTCGGTCGCAGAAGCGATGCATGATTGAGTAGTGTTTTAATATATTTTTTTAATATCCCGTAACGTCAGAACATGGAAATAATGATTACATTTTATTGACACTATCATAGGTACAGTTGCGGTCTCCTTTAAGCCGAGATTATTTCCTTGATTTGAAGAAATATGGGAAAGGCAAAAATAATTTTTTTTATTGTGTGTGTATTTAGTTTTAGAATTTAACTCGTGATAGAAAAACGTCCATACTTTTTGTACATGTACGTGATCTTATTTATCGGTTTATCGGTCATCCACTAAATAGGAGCAGATGTGTAGCAAAATCGAGAAACTGATGCTTATTTGTGCAACCTATAGATGCCATTTGAAGTTAACAGTTCAATTCGGTACGAAAAGTGTACAGTGTTGTAAGTTAGCTATATCACTAAGTCCAAGGGCAGATCAAAAGGGGGGGTGTCATGGGGGTCATGACCCTCACTTTGTTCTGAATTTATGTGGACTAACGAAAATTTTTCTAATTTGATAGACAACAAATGACTGAATTTCTACTACATGACCACCCCCTGAAAGCTGAATTCGCCGCTAAGTCCATATCACAGCTCAGAAAGACTGCATTTCAGTTCAAAGTACCTTTTTCTCGCGAATTGATACTGACTCCTTATTACGTGTTTTAACAATAGCACTTAGTAGGACTTCGTTGGATCAAGCTGTTGGAGACAATTTTAACCACCCTTGCTACGCTACGTTTTCAAGGTTTTTAAAGTTTTCAGTGCAGAGCTTTTGCTGCTTCTAATTAGATCTACCCTGTACGCATAGGTTCAACCCAAAGTCCGATAGAATAGCCTTTGTCAATAATAACAATGATTTGTCAAACCGTGACTTACTTTGAATTTCCTCTCACGAATTTGCGGATATGCTATTAGTTCAGGGGAAATGCTATTAGTTCAGGGGAAATGCTACAGTAACATGACAGAAGCTGAAAGAACTCACGCCAACAAAGGGCGAGGAGAGTGGTTCCAGGAAGATAGTGGACGATAGAAGTTCGGGTTCCAGGCACAGAGGAACAATTATTGGACATAACCGCAAGTCCTTCCAGGGGCTCTCAGAGCACAATAACTGACACTTTCCCAAGCACCAAATAAATACCGAGGACGGGCTACGTTCCTACCACGTTTGTACCATAGACACAGCACAAGGAGATACAAATGGAGCAGGAGTTAATTAACTGAATACGAAAAACTGCTTGATAAGAGTGGATAATAAGTAGATTACACAGGCACTAGCTTGTTTGGAGTAAACCATTCAAATCTTTGGTGTTGTATGGTTGATTTATAAACACCAATATTCGAGGTTATGAGAACAGGTTGACATTTCGAAAGTACGTTCCGCAGTCAACAAAACTTGTTGAATTTACCGTTTATTCTTGTCTATCTTATTGTCAGTCTTTATAATTCCATTGTTACCGGAATTTCAAATAATTACGAAGCAACAGGTATTTACGCAATGTTAATTAGGCAGATTGCCTTGAAAAACATTGCTGAGGTATTTCTGATATAGTTTTTTGCAAATTTCTCAATTTTTAATAACAATTAATTTCTTTCACTATTTATTCTGTAGTCCTATAACAGCGCCAGACAACATCTCTAGAGGAATTACGCCAATTTTGAATCATCCTGTATATTCATTTATACGGGGTGTCAATTTGAAAGCTTCCCACCCTTATAATCTTTCTTGCAGTTAGAAATATGAAAAATCTGAAAGACACGTCAATTTTATTTGGAATTAAATTAAATATTTTTAGCCTTCTTGCTTCAACCCACTAGGAGGGGTAGATGTCACCCTTAGAATCTTAAATAGTAATGGAGGTCAAGCGGCACATCGTTTTAAAAGGCCTTCAGTTGTCTTTTCAGGAGTATCCTGCTTTCTTGCCTTTGGTGCACAAGTTTCTTACTAATCGCGTTTCAAAGTTGGAGAAACAATTAAACTTTACCGCATTGTAATGTAGGATTCCACTTTAGCGTTCACCCAAAAATTATTACATTGGCTCTTCTTGCAGTACAAATGATTAGAATAGTGGGCGACACCGTTAAAATCGTTGAATAACTGACAAAAAATCTAGTTTAAACAATTGATATCTCACTTATTGTTTATTTTACTTCGACAAAATTAACTGTAAATTAACTGTTTATTTGCGAAAGATAAATTTCTTCCATAAAACAAATGAGATCTATTTAAGCACTATTTTATCCGTTGTTCAAAATGTTGTCCATTTCCAGTAAGCAATATCAAAGTCTGCTTTCGAACTCCTCCCTAACATTTCGGAAAACTTCACCGGCATTCTGCTACAATTCGCCTTTTAAGATCATCAATATCATCTTTTAAGATCATAAGGTTGTGTACAATAAACAATGGACTTTAGATTTCCCTAATGGAGGAAGAGTCAGGGTGTTAAATCAGGTGATCTTGAAGGCCATTCAATTGGTCCCCTTCTGCCAATCCATCTATACGGGAATCTCTCGTTTGACGATTGTCCGACCGCAAGAAAATAACGAGGTGGAGTAATGTCCTGCTGGAATGTTAACCAATCCTCCTGTAAAACTGAATTACCTTCTACAGCAATTTGAGCTCTTCATGATGTGCCTAGCTCATGCGTGATAAGAGTATCAATAGTCTCATCAAGCATTTTAAGTTTCCTTCAATAAATAAAGAACCAATAATGGCATTTCCAAGAATACCAGCCAAAACATTAAAGTTTTTGGGATATTGTGTGCCCTCGAGAAATATGTGGGTTTTCGTGACCTGAATATCGACAATTTTGTCTGTTAATATTTGCATTTAGAAAAAATGAACATTCATCGCTGAAACAGATATTCGGCAGAATATTAGGAATGGCGTTGACTGACGACTTATGGATTCATTTTTTTAGTTGGAAGTTTTGGAATGTCTGCGGTATACAATGTATACAGCAACTGCAAAACCATTAGAGTTTGTGGTACTCCTGCCATCATGCATCTGGATGGTAGGGGTTTATAAGTAAGACGGTGTCAGGAAAACTAGCTGGAGTGGCGGTGAATGGAGGGCAAATAACTTGTACAGCAGGCTTATGAGCCAAACTGTATGAAAAGCCCTTACCATATCGCAAATCTTCATTACCATACTTGGGAGCTTAAGAAATGCCATACGGTACAAAAATATTGCGCGTACCATCGATTTCAAAAGTTAATCAAGAGCATCCAAAACGCGACCGTCGTAATAAAGGTTCATGTGGATATCTCGATCTATCGATTTAGACCGAAATCTTCAAAAGGCATACACATAGACGGCCGTGCTAACAAATTTGCGTTTTGCGTATGATTTTAGCAGATTTATTAATAATCCAGAGGAAATTGAAGGGCTGTCACGGAAACTCGACCACCATATTTACCAAGGTGAAACAATACATTCCTGATAATTACTATGTTTGCTGTCTGATGATACTTTATTAGAAAATCAGGTTTGCTTCTTTTTGCATGTTTTCTAGATATTTTGAAATATGGAAATTTATGTTTCCAAAGAGACCAAGGTTGGTAGAAGGCGGCCAGTTCTCATGGATTCCGCTGTATCAGCAGCCAAGGAATGTCGCCAGTAATCATTTATCAAGAATAATCATGTCTTTCTCACACCGTTCAAATCATGTTAAAGTCAGTCAGAGTACAACCATGCTTAAGTACACTTGTAACAATTATTTAGTAATAAAATTAATTTTTAAGCGGTTTGTCATTCTTCAAACAGTTAACTCATTACCATGTTTAGGAAAAGAAAACACTAAACCAAAAAACTGATAAGGTGATCAAGAGTACTGCACAGAAAAAAAAGAATATGCGACGACTGAGATTACAGCCGTTATTTTATTGTAGGTAGCCACTCAACTAGGTTTATTTAATCTTACTAAGCGCATGCTCAATCCTGGATGGTAAGTTTAATAATTTAAGTAAAATATTAAATCTCTAAGAGGCACGCACTCGCCTCTCGTTTTTTATAAAGCATAAATAGAAAACACATAAAAACTGCATTCTAAAGACATAATGTTAATGTACCCCGGCAGTGAATTTTCAAAGGGAACTTGGCTTTTAAGCAGCAACTCCATAAGACTTCGAGACTGCCAGGGATCCTCCTGCGGCCAGATTGCCTACTAAGTTGCTTACCGCTCCCAATGTGGAAATGGGAATCTGCAAATTCAAGTTTCAATAAAATTGTTAAAATCCTTCAGTTCTGTTTTCTTTACATTGAATATATCCCGGATTAGATCTCCATTATATTGTTTCCTGATTGTTGTCGTAGACACTGCTTTCGGCCCTCCGTTATACTCTGAACGGTAATTAACATTTGCCAAAGCTGGATCCGGCCTAGCTATAACTACCCCGCCTGAAGATGGAAGTTCTCCAGTGGTGTAGTCACTAAAAATCTAGTTTAATCAGGGGAGTTTTCAAGAGAGCAAATCTTACATTCGCTTCCTCAAGTGCGACCAGGGTCGTCGATGGATTTTCGATTTGGTTTTTACTACAGTGACGAAAGGAGCTCCGGATGCTTCTTCGCCAACCACGATTTGTTTCCTGAAATATAAAATGAAGGAAAGTTGAATTGAGAATTCTATTAATCCTAAATTTTTGCAACAACCATGTCTTTTTATAGAAAATATTTTGTGTTATTGTGCTTGTGCATTTCGATGGCTTCTCGTATTAGCTGGGGACGATAGTAGGTTGTGGTGGCCATGACAGGGGTGTTCGCAAATTTGATATGTTTTGCTGGGCTAGGGGCGTGGTCTGCACTGCCAACTTTCGAACATGTTCTAATTGACAATTTCTTTGATAGTCTTTAATCGTCGTCCCATCTGATCTCGCCATGGTTTTTATATGCCCGATGCCACAGCAACATGTGATTTGGTAGATACCGTCCTTAACTAACCACAATCAGTCCGGGATCTTTGCTGTGCGCCTGCAAGTGGTTTTTGCAATAAAGGGTAGATAAACTTTCGTGTATTTTTCCGTCTTTTATTTCGGTGTACATGAACAAATTCGTAAAGACGGAGAGTCAATATATATAAAACGGCAGTCAGACCCACAATAACTTACGGAGCAGAAACAAGACCAGATGTGATCAGAACTTTACAAATGATGAGGACAGTTGAAATGAAAACCTTAAGAAGCATACAAGGCAAAACTCCATATGGTACGAAGTGAGGACATTAGAATAAAATGCGAGATACAGGACACAGGAAGATGGGTGAGACAGAGAAAAAGATTCGGGAACGAACACGTAGAAAGAATGTAGGACAACAGACTCGTACAAAACGCCAAAATGAACAATCCAGTAGCACGGAGACCACAGCGGAGACGTCTTGACAATGAACAGGCAACAGCCTTCTAATATGTAAGAAGAAGGTTCGGTGTACCTACTTGTAGTGGTTTTTTGATCTCCAGATGGAAAAATCTGTTAGGAAGGAAAGCACTTTCTATGTAGTCTGTTGTGAATTGTTTAGATGGTTGCGAAACTTATTGGGCTCTCGCGTCCACACCACGAAAGTCTCATTGGCTCAAGTTATTCAGTAAAGTTCTTGTTTGTGTAGCTCTCTCAGATCTTCCATCCAGCTTTTAAGTATTTGTTCCTTATCAGTACCAAGATTTGGACTTGTCCAGTTCCTAACTGCTACATTGTGAGACTCTATATTTTCTTGTAGATATTGAAAGTATTATGTTTTTGTTCTAAGTGTTGGAATTTTACACATTCGTTCTGCAGCAACTGCGTCTTTACCTCTTGAATATTTTTTGGCTTTTTAGTCTATTTGATTGTATTTTCCGTTGTTTTTGTTGCTCTACTTTATTCGTTTATCCATAAGATCTCTTCCGTCACCCATCAATGTTTTCCAGGGTTTTAGGTGGCTATTTGCCATCGAGTTTCAAGTATCCATTAATTTATTTCACACATCATCTCAGTCCATGCCTTCGTGTTTGGGATCCGGTTATTATTATGCCCTTTCTTTTGATATTTATTTCCGCTTTAATTTCTGCTTTTGGGGTACTATTTATACGTTTCTGGGAGTTTTTTAGGTTTTCCGCTACGAACTATTAATAGGCCACTCATAATCCGTTCAAAATAAAACAATGGGCTGATGGTTCTTCCGCTCCTGGATATGTTGTTACACATTTAACTGAGTCCTGAAATCTTCTCTCTGCTGGGCATTTCCTAGAATAGAGACGTTGAGGTGGTAATTTCAAAAAAGTGTTCACATTGGCACTGTGCATCTTTGGAGGGGACAAAGTCAACCGGTCTCCATAGCAGTGCTGCCCCGACCCCGGGCTATGGTCTCTTGTAAACCCGGGGCCTTCGGACAAGCGTGGTAAGCGGCAAAACTGAAGAAGCTGCTATAGCGGCTTTATCCAGGTGGTGTTGGTCAGCCAGGACTGTCGCCCACATCCTAAATAACCATCCTGAGGAGGCTGCGATACTGGATTCAGCCAGGAGGGCTGCCGGCCACATCCGAAATGACAGTAAAGGGCTTGAGAACAGTGATAGAGCAGTGGGAGAGAAGTGGTAGAGGAGTGGCTCAGAAGTGGGAAGAAGTGGGAGATAAACGATAGAGAAGTGGGAGAAGTCGAGAGTAGGGGATTTTTGCGCGGGATCAGTTAGGAGTTTTTTGGGAATTGAGGGAAAATGGAAATGCGAGCTTCAGGGTTTAATGAAGAATTTATCTGGGTGGATGTGTTGAGCAATGCTTCGGCTGACCTCGCGCACATGCTAAGACATACCGGAAATGTAAAAGGCAGAAGGGAGAACACGATGGGAATACTTAGAGCTTACTGGTGCTCTCCATCCCCACGCTAATTGGTTGGGTGGATGGTTTCAAGGAACCGGATTGGTGTCTCGTGAGAGTGACTTCTGGAGTTAGTCCGTTTTGGCTGGTAACGACTAGAGTTGGAAAGACCCAAAGGCGTAAGCTAGGGGGGTTCCCGAGAAGAAAACCAATAAAGCAATTTTTGTTTGTATCTGTATTGAGGGCCTTAGATATTTATAGAAAGTTTCTAGTACTTGATTTGAGCGGTCCGAAATTTGAGCGCACACCTGAACTTTTAAAATTAACACTCTCATTAAAATGGCACAACCCATTAACACACTCATTTGTAATCTTAATTTAGTTTCCAGTTTTACATCAACAGCAACAACAACAACAAACATAAGTGCTCAAAATACTCACGTTTTTGACACAGTCTTTACGTGCTGAGGCACCTCAACTTCCTTCTCTACTACAGTTGGCGTTGTGGGAACTTTAACAGTTTTTTCAACATACGTTGGTACTCGTATGGTTTTTTCCACATAAGATGGAACCTGCACGGCAGAACAACAAATTACGCATTTAAACAGGTTAATGCGATAAATACGTGTATACGTCAAAACTAACCTGAATAGTTTTCTCGACGTAATTGGGGATAATCGTACGTTCGACGTAAGTTGTTTTGCCAACTGGGTGGTCATTTTCCGTTTTAAGCAATTCGGTACTGATTTGGGAAGCGGGCGCTGGTGCTTGAATATCTTTGCCCACTTCAACATTAAAAGTGGAGACGGATTTTGGGATTTTCTGGACGTGCACTTCTTCAGAAGCCATTACTGAAATGCCAATAAAACGATACACCAAAAAACAAAGAATACTTTATTAAAACACTGCATAAAATTTCACCTCTACTAGAACATTTAGCAATTATTGCTTGCCAAAATGCAATCAAAATAAGACAAGTATCTACCTCCAGCAGAAGGCGCGGAAGAGAACCGCTCTTTAATCACGGTTCTCCCGCCGCCTGCAGACGACGCAGCGTAAGACCGTCCTACTGATCCTTCGGCTCCTGTCATACCACCCAAGCCTGCACTGGCCCCAACGCCGCCTCCTGCTGTTGCTCCTGCGTATAGCCCACCTAAGGAACGCCCTAAAATCGCTTTTTAGAGCAAGGAACGTAACTCTGTAGCCTTAGTACCGTTTGCGTCCGTCATTCCTCCGAGTCCAGCGTGGGCTTTTTGTCCAAACGGGGTTTCAGCAGAAGCATGCAAACCTCCTTGACTACCGTCTCCTCTTAAAAGCCCCCCCAGGCCTGCTGAAGCTTTGAAGCCCAGAAAATTTACCCCCACGTTGCCGTCTTTAAAAGACAGAAGCGGTGGGATCTAAAGTTGAATCACCCGGATGGAAACTGTTTTAATATTTTCAGATAATTTCATTACTCACCCCTGCATTCTCCTCTGCTGGGGCTGGAGCTCCGTTAGTACAAAGAGCCAAGCCGCAAAGCACAAATGCAATCTTCAAAGTTCCCATTTTGTTTGCCAGTAAATTTACGGAAAAAATCTTGTCACTTTTATTGCGACCTTTCTGCGTGAACAAACCAGAACAGAATGAGTACGGAATTCGAGAAAATTACTATGATTTTAATAATTACGCATATATACATAGAAGTAGTACCTTTGTGAATGGCTAGACATGACAAGGCTGTTTCATCGCATCTTGGCCGAAGCCAAGGTTCAAGCCACGTTTTTACAAGGTGTTACAAATTCCATGTTTTGTATCTGTATCTCACAGATGGTAAGAGATAAAAAGTCGATTAATCTAGACCAAAGTTGCGCATTCAGATGCTTAACAAAATTAACAAAATGGTGTTATAAAAGTTTGGAAGTCCCAGCCACTTCCCAGAAATATTCGCAGAAAACAGAATTTTGGTCAAATGGTCTACTCTGAAGGAATATTTGAAAAATTTCACTCATTAGTAGAACACCACTTTAGTTTCTGCAATATTATAATACCATGTTCAGGACTGAATATTTCGATTTCTGCTCAGGAATCCGGAAGGAATTCTACTGACCCTAGAACGGTACTGCTGTTGCTTTTTCCACGTATTAGCCATAACCATATCAAATTTATCATTTCGTAACTTAAAATTCTACGCTTTTTATCACAAACATTTTATGCGAAAAAATTAATATAATTGATATGCATTTTCTATACGTATATTGGATCTACAGTTATACCTGCAAAGTATAACTTAATTAAATAACATTTTGTTTTCAATCAAACAGGCTTTTTTGTAATGAAACGTGTTCATGTTGTGGAGGATATTGTGCAGACAAAACCAAGCAAAATAAATCAAAACAAAACTTACTCGTCAAATCAGAAGCAAACATCCTCAAAAGCACCGAACAAAACATGTTAATCAATGGTCAAAAATAGTCAAAGCTGTTTAAAAAATTGTTAAAATGGTCAAACTTGTATATGACAAACTGACAAGAAAACAGACTAATTAAGTTAAAATTAAAATTGACACAAAAACAATAAACATGAAAAGAAAAGGACTTGACTGGTGCACCCTATCAGTACGTCGACCATAAAGCTGTTCCAAGAACAGCGGGCAGAAACATTTCACATTTGGTTGACAAAGAGGAGATTCTTTCAGTTTTTCGACC